GGCCCAACCCTTCTTAGCTTCCGAGATCAGTCGAGATCGGGCGCATACAGTGGATAGGGCACTTGTGCTAATCCGATGAGTTCCCTGGGCTCTGCCAGGAGTGGTCCCTCAAGTCAGAGCCAGGAGTAAGCCTTGAGTACAGTGGGTGTAGCTCAAGAAAACCAACCAATGCCCCCTCCCCCAAACAAAACAAAAAAGGACCTTTAATAATGGGCCTTTTAAAGACCCAGTCACGGTCCTCCCGCTATTCATCAATTTGCTCGAGCAGGCCCAGTAACATCTCCATCGTGAGACTTATTACTGTGTTTGGCATATTGAATACGTCATGGGGAGCTTGCCAGGATTTGCTGTGCGGGCAAGATACTCTCGGTAGCTTGCCGGGCTCTCCGAGAGGGGCGGAGGAATCGAACTTGGGTTGGCCATATTGGCTGCTTGCAAGGCAAACGCCTTACCCGCTGTGCTATCGCTCCAGCCCTTTTAAAAATACTCCAAATATCCAATTGTCTTCCATTAAAATGCATTTTAAATCAGGAGTGGATCCCACGTAGGGAGACACAAGTCTACAGAGGGTTTTGTGAATGTGTGTGCATGTGTGCTCACAAGTGTGGATGTGTGTGTGGGCGTGTATGCATGAGTGTGTGTGTGTGGGTGTGTGCATGTGTTCAAGTGTGCATGAATGTGTGGGTGTGCGTATGTGCGCGCACGCGTGTGTGTGTACAGAAGAACTGCTCAGGTACGGGGATTCTGAAGCTTCGCCAGGTAGTTGGCTGCTGCAGCCTTGGCTTGCTCTCATCTGGCCCATTTAGAATCACGTAGAGAATTAAAAAAAGAAAAAAAAATCCGGATGCCCAGGCCATACTAAATCATACCCTCTGCAGTGGAACAGACACATCGGTGTTTTGAAAGCTCCCTAGATGGTGCCACTGGGAATTGTCTCGTCAGGCTTGAGCACCGCTGCCTATTTTTCTGGGACCTGGAGAGCCTCGTGAAGGTCAGGCGGTGGCACGAGGCACCCTGGATGTGGACCCTGATGGGAACAAGTTGTCTTTTTATGTCTTCCTTGGAGGTAAGGCCCTACCTCTGAGAGAGAGAGGGAAAGGATGACAGGACTGCACTTGGAGAGTCGCACTGTCACTGGAATGCATGAAAGTGAGCGCATGGCCTTGGAGAGGGTCCAGCAAGGTCGACCAAACACGTGCCCTTATGACAAGCCAAGGGACTTTTCTGGTCAGATCTCATGCCTTATTCAATACACTTTGTCCCACTGAAGTTCTACTTTAAAGAAAGGAAGCAGGAGGGGCTGGAGAGATCGTACGAGGGGGAGAGCCCTTGCTGGTCCACCACAGCCCACCTGGGTTCCATCCCCAGCACCATATATGATTTCTATCACACACACACAAAGAAAACAAAACAAACGATCTGCAGGGCACATCACCGGGCAGGAATGTGTTCCCAAAGTACCTCTCAAACTTACAGACTGGCGAGCTCCCTGGTGGCCTTTAGAAATCTCAATATGCCTTCCAGAACTTCTGCTGGAAAAGTTACTGCACATTTTCTGGCATGCTAGGTGACTTCAGTCCAAAGGATCTGATCTCAGGAGTTATCTTTTTTTGGGGGAGGGGTGTGGGTCATACTCAGCGATGCACAGGGGTTACTCCTGACTGCACTCAGGAATTACTCCTGGCAGTGCCTGGGGGACCATATGAGATGCTGGGAATCGAACCCGGGTCGGTCACGTGCAAGGCAAACACCCTACCCGCTGTGCTATCGCTCCAGCCCCCCAAGAGTCATCTTTTGTTATCGAGCTCATGTCTCCAGATGAGCTGGGCATATCTGAGGGGCCCATGAAGTTCTCTGTGGTATGACACATTACCTTGTAAAGATGCATGTTAATAGATGTATGCAGAGGAGCAGGTAGGAGAGCCAGTTCCCACGGACAGCGGGCCTGGTGGGAAAAGAAGGCTTCAAAGAGCTGCCTCTCTGGACCACTTACTTTTCTGCCGCAGGCAGCTTGATTAGCCCAATTGATGGGATAGGGGCAGGTCTCTCTGGGAGTCAAGGACTCCCCTGGACCCCCACTCCTGTGTCTACCTGCTCCAATTTTAGTGCACATGCTCTCTCTCTCTGTCTCTCTCCCTCTCTTTCTCGGGCCACACCTGATGATATTCAGGGGTTACTCCTGGCTCTGCAGTCAGGAGTTACTCCTGGAGGTCCCGGGGGTGACCATATCGGGATGCTGGGGATTGTGCCCTACCCACTGTGCTATCTTCTCTGGCCCCAAATTCTAGCTCTCTTTTGCTTCCGAGTTTTGATTAGATGGGAATGCAATGAGGACCACTCCAGCTCCAAGCTGGCACCAGGGGTAATGGGGGCATCCACTTTCAAGGTTCAGCCCTTATGGAACCCACCCTCCTCCGCCCTTGCCGCTGGTAGTGCTGGTAGTTCCGGGCTCGCTCTGGCCGGGAGGGGCTGAGACCAGCAGCTCTTGCCGGGCAGGAGGCAGGGAGCGCTCTGCATCTCAGTCTCTTCACTCCCTGTTCCGAGGGGAGCCGTGTCTGTGCCTGGGCAGGAGCCAAGGCCAAACCAAGATTCCAGCCGAGAATGGAGGAAACACACCCACTGTGGTTCTCATGGCAACACGATCACGCACAGGCAGCGGCCTATTTTGGGGGGAGCCTGTCTCCGCGCCCCTCCTCCTGGGTTAGTCATGGAGAAGATGCACGGGCAGAAGCGGTGCGGGGTGGGATGGGGTGGGGAGGGGACTGGGGTGGTGGTGGTGGTGGGGGGAGTGTGGTCCCGGGAAGGAGGCTGGAGAAGCCACGTGTAGATGCTCCCTCAGCATCGCTCACGGATCCAGGACCTGCATCAAGCCTCGCTCAGACTCCAGGGTCCCTGTTTGGAAAGCGAGAGGACAGGAGGGCAGAGCAGGGAATGAGGTCCCATTTCATTCCCCCCACCCACCCCCCGACCCCCAGCCCACCACCACTGATGGCTGAGAGGACCTGGGAGAAGTACAAGATGACTGCAGCCAACGAGGGGCTCTCTCGCCCCACGCGAAGGCAAAGGAGGTCACAGTTATTTGGTCACTGACATCAAGTCTTCGGTTTCTCTGCTGGCCCTTCCCTGCTTCCCCCTCGGTCCCTCCCCTCAGCACAAGCCTCTTGGCTGGTTCTCTTTCCTGACTTTCCTGAATCGGTCTTCCCTCCCCCACCCCCACTTTCTCCCTCACTTTCCGTTTCCACTTATTGCAACGCCTCTCCGCTCTCTCCCCCCAGGACCTGCAGCTGGAGGAGGCCTTCGGAGATCCTGGCCCGGTTGTCAATGGAGTCTGGGGAGTGGAGGGGGGTTAGTCCAGGACAATGAGGCTCACGCTTCTTGGCTGTCAGAGGTGAAGATAAACAAATAGGGCAGGCGTGCAGGACGCCGGCCCTCTCTCCCGCTGGACGTCCCAGCAGGCAGTGAGGCGAGCCGGCCGTTTCCAAGGACCGTCACGGAGCAGGTCCCTGCCCTTGACATCAGGCTGAGAGCCGCGTGGTGAATGGGGCAGCTGTCTTGGATGGAGTCGCAGGGGCTGAATGGACTGACTCTGCTGCAGAGGGAGAACAGAGTGGGGCTTCCTCCTCCCTTTGTTCTCTGTCCCACCCGCCCGACAGATGGCCAGAAAGACGGAGAGAGAGAAGCAGCTCTCCGGGGAAGGCAGGGAGGCATTGTATCAAAATTCACACCCCTGCTACCGCCCAAACTCCCTTAAAAAAAGGATCCAGAGAACCCTAATGGGTACGTGACAGTCTCCCTCTCTGCCATAAAAGGGACTTCAAAACCTGGTGACTATAACGGAGGGGAGGGGTGAGGAGAAATGTGTGGGCCCCAGCGGGGGGCCGCCAGTGCCTGACTGGGTTGGGGGGGGGGCGCTTTCTTTGCAGCCCGAGTCTTGCGCCCCTCTGGCCCTTAGTCACCTCCGGCTATCTGCCCCACCCCCCTGGGCCAGCGCGACCCTGAGTTCGGGAGCCAGGGCAGAGGGGCAGAAAGGAAGGGACAGCCCTACTGCACTTGACCGGAGGGAGAGTTAAAGGAGTTAAGGACCCTCCGTCCTCCGGACACCCACGCATCACTGCTCCCCCGAACCATAATTCGTCAAATTAGGGGTGGGAGTCTAGGAATCAGGAGAGTGTGTGTGCGCGTGGAGGGGGGGCGTTGGGCAGGGAGGGGGCGAGGTCACTGTGGCCCTGGCTAGCCTGAAGCCGTTCCTCGGTGGGTAAGGCGGGTGCACCCCACCTCCGGGTGGGCGCCGGTGGTCTAGGAACCCGCAGGGGCCCCCGCCCCTCCTCCGTGGTCCTGCAGCAGTGCACCCCAGCGTCGGGCGGCAGAGGCGGCCGGAGAGCCCCCCTCCCCAACCAACCCCCCCTCTAGACACCTGGAATTCAGGGAGGGGGCGGGCTGCGGGGCGCGGGGGCGGGGGAGGGGCCGGGCCCGGGGGCGCGGGGGGCCCTGGGTCTGCGCCCAACCGCCGCCCGCTCGCCCTCCCCGCCTCCCCCGCCCCCACTCACCCGGCGCAGCCCCTAGGAGAGACGCGCAGGGAGCGTGTGTGGCTTCGCCCGGCGGCTCGCTCGCTCGCTCGAAGTTGCGAGGAGTTGGAGGCTGCCTCGGGCCGGCGGGAGCCCGCGAGCCGCCGCCGCGCCTTCGGGGGGCCGCGCCCGCCGCGGCCAGGCAGGGTGCGGGGAGCGCCGCGGGCCAGCGGGTCGGGCGCGCCGCAAGAACTTGCAAGTGTGCGAAGGAATCCGGAGCCCATGCGACCGGGAGGCGAGGGGAGCAAAGTGGAGACTGCAGGCGAGACCGAGTCGCCGAGACCCGGTCGGCCCGGCGCTCCCGCCCCGGGGCTGCTGCTGCTGGACTGGGCGCTCTTTGCTTTTTGATTTTTTTTTTCATCCTTTTTTTTTTTCCTTTGGAGGTGTATTTCCCCCCTCCCATTTCCATCCTCCTTTCCCCCTTCTCTCCCTCTCCGTCTCTCCTTTAAAGCGACACCAGCGCTCCCTTTCTCGACTCTCGGTGCATCACCCACCCCTGGCTGGCGCTTATGGGCATGAAACACTCCTCCCGCTGCCTGCTCCTAAGGAGGAAAATGGCGGAGAACGCAGCCGAAAGCGCCGAGGTAAGGAGAGCGGGAGCCGGGGGCGCCAGAGCCGCGACCCCCGCGGGCCGCCCGGGACCCCCGCGCCGCCGCCGCCGCCGCGCCGCGCCGCGCCGAGCGCCAAACTTTCCCCGGCTGCCTCCCGCGGGCCGCCGCCGGCCGTGAGTGCGAGTGTGCGAGTGTGTGTGTGTGTGTGTGTGTGTGTGTGCGTGAGTGTGCGAGTGTGTGTGTGTGTGCGTGAGTGTGAGTGTGTGTGTGTGTGCGCGCGCTGGGCCGGGAGGCGGGGGGGAGGGTGGGGGGGGACGGCGCTTGTCGCGGCTCCCCACCCTCTTGGGGAAAAAAAATGCAAAAAAAAAAAAAAGAGTCGCTGCTCTCACCCGCATCTCCCTCTCCTGACACCCCGCCGCTCGCTTCGCTGCTCCCCACCGAGTCCCGAACCCCCCGGGGCAGCCGCGCGGTGCGCTGCCCGCTCCGGGTTGGAGGGGGTTGGAGGGGCGCGTAGGAACCCCCCACCCCTCCCGGGACGGCCTTGGTGCGAGGTGGCGGGTGGGCGACTCCCGGGAGCCAGGTCCGCGCCGGGCAGCGCCTGGACCAGCGTGTCTCCGCCTTTGGATGCTTCCAGCTCGCCTGGAGCCCTTGGTCCCCGCAGCACCACGGAGAGCTCCCAGCCGCGCGCGCTGTGCTTGGGGAGGGGGTGTCAGCCCCGGGGTGGGGGCCCCCCGCGAGCTGCAGGCCGTTCCAGGGGCGCTCTGGCATCATCTGCCCGGGACCCTCGCGCTCCCGCTGCGGCCCGGGCCGAGGTCCGCAGTCCTGGAATGTGGGCGCGCCGAGGGCGCCCTGGTCGCGGCCACCGTCAGCACCAGGGACAGCGCCCGCCCCTGCCGCAGCCGGGCCCGCGCGGCGCGCGCCGCAGGGCCCCGGAGCGGGGCTGCAGCTTTCTCGTCCCGCCGCGCGGCGAGTCCAGCTGGCGGGGGGGCCCGTCCCCGATCCTGGGCTTGCCTTCGCCTCATCACCCTGACCTCTGCGGGTCACTGCCCAAACGGGGCTTGAGCCCGCGGGTCCCCGGCACCTGTCTGTAGTCACGAAGGCGATCGGCGTGGGCAGCCCCCCACCCCCCACCCCTTACCTTCCCGGAGACGCCGCCAGTGCGCCGAGGTGGGGGCGGAGTGGGGCATGTGTGTGCAGATCATCCCTTACTCGGTGGCAGGAAAAAGGCAAGAGAGCAAACTCCTGGGCGCTATTAATAGGCGGGTGTCTGGTGGGGCTGCCGGTACATTTCACATATGGCTCGCCCATATGCACCGCGCTGCCGGGGAGGTGTGGCGCGGGGCATCGGGCTGGATCTTGCCGGAGCGCTTACAGGTGCGGGGACGAGAACCTTCCCCACCTGTCCCCTCTCCCAACCCGCCCCAGCCCCCTGCCCAGCCTTCATAACTGACAGCTAACCCCTCAGTCACCAGCTAGGCAGCCAAGCTCCCTCGCCTGCCCCCAATATCCTCCTCTGACACTCCAGGCAGCGGTGCATCTGGCGAGTGTCTTGGGAAAGGAACACGCTCGGGGGTTGGGAAATGAAACAGGGGTTGGCATTCCGGAGCTCCTGCCAGCTCCTTGCCGTTACAGCAGAGCCAAATTGCATGTGATACCAGCGTCCTTCCTCCCCGCCCCCCATCCCAACTCAACACCCCCACTGGAGCAGGCACTCAGAAGGATCTATAGTACAAGACCCCTCGCCTTCCAGCCGAGAGCCAGCCTCACCAAGCCCCTCACCCTGCTCTCCTCCTCCTCCTCCTCCTGGTCCTCCCGTGGAAGCGGTTTCTAAAAATAACTCAGAGGCAAGGCTGCACTTCTGTAAACTGTTGTGCTCCAGGGAGCCCGTTGCAAGCCCTGCAACCAGGTGCTCTGGGCGCCGGGAGCAAGAAAAAGTATCCCCCCTTACCCCATGTCCCTACCTCTCTCCCCCACCTCCATTTTTTCTTTTTAAAAAAAGTTTTCTTGGGTTTGTAGCCCCCCCCACCCTGGACACATGGCCTGTGCCCGGGACATTGACCCCCCAGGAGGGTCCCCAACTCAAGGCAGCTCTGATGCCCCCTCAGCAGGCCAGGGTTAAAGGATGGGGCAGGCAGCGCTCTGCGCGCCAGGCTATTTTTACTTGCTTCCCCCGCGGCTCTGCGCTCGCTCCCCCTTCGCAGCGGCTGCACATGCCAGCTCTGCTCAAGGCATCAATGAAAACAGCAGTAGAGGCGGCCTGCGAGCAAAAAAGGAGAAGAGGGGGAAAAGAATCCCCGTCTCCTGTGGACCTGCCCAAGGCGGTGGGGGAGGCGGCAGGGGCAGGGACTCCTGGGCAGGGAGTGTGTCTGGGGTGGGGGTCTCCTCCCCTGCTGCTCGCCCTGCCAAGGGTGAGGGAGGGATGCGTGGTCAAAGGCGCCCAGTGGAGGCCTGCAGGCAGCTTGACAATCACTTGGTTTCCCTCCAGGAACGGGTTGTTTTTGGAACAAGCCAGGACTAGAGCAGTCCTTCTAAAAGTGTGTGCCTGCCTATGTTCATGGCGAGGGAAAGAGAGGCAAAGACACCTCTGGCTCTGTGTGTGTGTGTGTGTGTGTGCGTGTGTGTGTGCCCGTGAGTTTCTTGTCAGAGTGTGAGTATGTATCAGAGTGGGTATGAGAGTGTGTGTATGTGTGTGTGAGAGAGTGTACGAGAGTATGTGTGAGTATCAGAGTGTGTATGTAAGAATGTCGGTGTGACAGTATGCATGAGTGTGTGAAAATGTGTATGAGATTATGTGTGTATGAGGGTGTCTGAGTGTGTGTTTGACTGTGGGTGAGTTGTCGCAGAGAATGTGTGTGAGTTCGTGAGTGTGTGAGGGTGAGTGTTGTGGGAGAGTTGTGTGTATGAGTGTGAGTGTTGTGGGAGAGTTGTGTGTATGAGTGTTGAGAGAGTGTGTGTGAATGTATATGTGTGAGAGAATGTGTGAGTGTGTGAGTGAGTCTTGTGTGAGAGTGTGTGTGTGAGTGCTGTGTGAGAGTGTATGAGTGTCTGAGTGTTGTGTGAGAGAGTATGTGTGAGAGTGTGTGTTATGTGAGAGTGTGTGTGTGTGTGAGTGCTGTGCGAGAGTGTTTGTATGAGTGTGTAAATGTTGTGTGAGTGTGTGTGTGTTGTGTGTGTATGACTGGGTGAGTTGTGGCAGAGAGTGTGTGTGAGTTTGTCAGTGTATGAGTGTGAGTGGTGTGGGAGAGTTATGTGTATGAGTGTGTGAGAGAGTGTGTGAGTGTGTGTCTTGTGTGAGAGTGTGTGTGTGAGTGCTGTGTGAGAGTGTATGTTTGAGTGTGTGAATGTTGTGTGAGAGTGTGTGTGAGTGCTGTATGAGAGTATGTATGAGTGCATGAATGTTGTGTGAGTGTGTGTGTGTTGTGTGAATGTATGTGTGAGTGAGTGTGAGAGCGTGTGTGTGTGAGAGAGTGTCCTGTGTGTGTTGATCGTGCTCATGGTCCTCATTCGTAACTCAGATGTTCCTTGCAAACACCGACGGCACCAGGAGAAGCCGGACCGCTGCACGGGCAGCCAGAGCCCTGCCCTGGGTGAGCTCTCTGGCCCCTGGGCAGTGGTGGCAAATGATCTCAGTTTAAATTCAAGAAGAGTAAGTGGCATCCTTTCTGGCCTTTTTGTTGGTAGCGAGTACCAGTGCCTTATCTCCTTTCAGCCTCCCAAGAACCCTGTGAGAGACAAGGAAAGGGGTGAATTCCGTTTCTTCTCCCATCTTCTCGAAGAGGTCTTGGAGGCTGGGAAGACTAGCAAAGTCGGAACTCACCTGGTTGGTGAATGAGCATGGGCCCCACACCGGCACCTCTGGGCGCTGGTCCGAGTTGGGTTTGTTGACCTAAGCCCTTTAGTCAAAGCTGTCCCGTGTGATGGGAGTGAAGGAGGAGCACAGAGGAGGGAGCACTTGGGAAGGGCAATTAGGGGACAGTGGAAGGAAGCAAGGATGATGGGGAAGGTGATGTTTTCCCTGCAGAGGTCGGAAAGATGACAGTAGTCATTGTTAGGCAGAGAAAGTGAGGGTTGAAATGACTTCTGCTGGGAGGAAAGGAGAGGAGAAGGGAGGGGGAGGGAGGAGAAAAAAGGAAGAAAAAGCAAGAGGGAAGAAAATGAAGAAAAAGAAGAGAAAGGAGGAAGGGAAGGAGGAAGAAAAGAAAGAAGGAAGGGGGGATGAGAGGAAAAGAAGGAAGAAGGCAGGCAGGCAGGCAGGCAGGAAGGAAGGAAGGAAGGAAGGAAGAAATGAAGGAAGGAAAAAAGGAAGGAAGGGATAAAGGAGGAAGGAAGGAGGAAGGAAGGAAGGAAGGAAGGGAGGGAGGGAGGGAGGAAGAAAAGAAAGAAGGAAGGGAGATGAGAGGAAAGAAGGAAGAAGGCAGGCAGGCAGGAAGGAAGGAAGGAAGGAAGGAAGGAAGAAATGAAGGAAGGAAAAAAGGAAGGAAGGGATAAAGGAGGAAGGAAGGAGGAAGGAAGGAAGGAAGGAAGGAAGGAAGGAAGGGAGGGAGGGAGGAAGGAAAGAAGGAAGGAATGAAGGGATAAATGGATGAGGGAAGGAGGAAGAAAGGAAGGAAGGAAGGAAGGAAGGGTGAGCAACAGTATAGCTAATAAGATGCTTGGCTTGCACGTTCTTAACTATGATTCAATCCCTGGCACCGTGTATGGTTCCCCAGAGTTCTGCCAGGAGTGATCCCTGAGCACAGAGCCAGGAGCAAGTCCTAAGTTCTGCTACATGTGGGCCCTCCACGTACCCCCAAAGTCTTCCTCAAGTTGCAAGAGTGAATTCAAAGGTCACCTCCTCCAGGCAGCCTCCCCAGACTTGCTGTGTATTCTTACCCACACTCCCCTACCCCCGGAGCAAGTGCTCCCATATCTGTGTGTTCCTACCACCAGTCTCTCACTTTTTCTATTATGAGATAGTGGCAGTTGGCTTTTTTTTTAATATGTCTGTTTCTCCAGTTAGATGGTGAACTTTGGAGGGGGGGGTAGACCCTGTT